ATATATATATATATATATATATATATATAAAACTCATGTCGAAATGTTTTTTTACTCTGTTCTGAAGTAATTGGTAATCACACAAAACGAATAATTATAAACGTTAATTATTAAGGAATATTTTAAGAAGACTGCAAAGAAAGAAAAAAATATGTAATAGGATTGCGAATGTTCCATAAATTTCTGTCGTTTATTAGACAGCACGCGATCGGTCTTCGGATTTCATCAGCTGTAAGAGCATTGACCCGGTTTCCACGTGTCCAAGGGTTAAAGCACCCTCTTCAGTGTGTTACAGTTACACAATCACGGTCGCGCACTTTCCGATCTTGGCGGAATCTCTTGACCGTCGTTTTCCCTTATCTGGCCCGATATGTAGAGACAAAAACAAAGAAATAAAGAGAGAGAGAGAAAAAGATAAAAATAGGCGGGAGTTAAAAGGAGCAGGAAAAACGGTACATACATCTCTCGCCTCTCGAATTTCCGAACAAACCAGGGATCTCCGGGGCGTACCGGGTGACGCATGAATATTTCATCAGGACCGGATAAACCGCACGATATTTTCCGCAGAGAGGGACAAGAAGAGAGAGGGGGGGAAGGGCGGGGAGAGGTGGCAAGAGGCAGAGGTAGAGGGGAGAACTTACCCAGCATCTGATCGCGCGATACATCGGCCCGGGCGATACCGAAGGCTGGATCGGTGTCACTGTGGTATCGATCTATGGTCAGCTCCCAGTAGTGCACACCCCGCGAAAAGCCGACGCTCGAGAGGACCACACGGTGCTCGTAACCCTCGCAGGACGCGCTCATCGCGTCCTCGGATATGGACACCTCCTGCGGTATGCCAGCCGCGCCGGTAGCCCACGAAAACCACGCCACTGCGAGAGAGAGAGAGAGAGCAGAGAATACAGCTTCGTTGTACAGCTCCGATTAATATTCCGCGGACTCGGATCCGCAAGCACGCTTAACGAACTACACGTTTCAGGTACGAGCGTTGGGTTATCGAGTGCCGGGTTATTGGAAATTCGACGTCGCCGCCGCACTCGATGTTAATAACGACGTGACGGGATTGTGGAATCTTAATATGGGAAAGAGAATGGGTGATCTGATTTTCTGTGCGGCTAAATAATTTAAGAATTTGATATGGAAAGTCGACGTGACGCGACTGCGGAAAGTGAAAGGAAGGGATGTTGGATCTTTCGCGGCTGTTAAATAATTTAAAAATTTTACATGGAACTTCTTACACGATGTAGCTGTTGTTCAAACACTGAACTTTCGCCCAACGAATATCACGTTACGATCCGAAAATAAAAAAAGCAAAGAGCTTTTTTTCTCCATTTTTACATATTAATACGTTCAGAAAAATACGAAGAGATACACGATTAAAGTTCAATATAAAGAATTAGTCTGGAAATAAAGCAACAATGATTTTAAATTAAACTACTATGTTTTACAAATGAGTAATTTAATCCACAATGTTATTAACCGATTCATCGCTTGAGAATTAAAAGATAATATTTAATTCTTCGCGACACTGAAAAATTTAAGCGTTTTCGTGACAAGCTTAAGTAATAACAAAAATTAAATTTCTGAAGAATTTTGAAACTGACGCAGAGATAAAAACGTCTCCTCGAAATCATTTGTAATTGTCGCCCGCATTATTTCGCAAACGCCATACGGATGGGCATTCTATCGCGGCTATTTCTGTGCGTCTACCGTCCATCTCATCGATCACGCGATCGTGCCGCGGAAAAAAAGTACGCGCGGCTGGAAAATCGACGTCGCTTACGATCGTTCGTCTTCCACGCGACACCGACGCCGATTTTCCAGCTGAGGCTTCCGCGCGCGTTTCGCCCAGGAAACGGTAAAGAAAAAAAGGAGAAAGCTCTCACCCTCGGCGGTCTGAAGGCCGATCAACTCCGAGTACTCGCCCTCACCGGCGCTGTTAAAGGCCCGCACCCTGGCGTTGTAGAGCGAGTTGAAGTGCAGCCCATCTACCGTGCAAATGGTCTCACGGCCACAGTACACCTCCTGCGAATCAGATTTCAAACGAACACTCGTGAATTTGCGGGTTGCAACTGCAGCCGAATAATCTATTCTATTAATCGAGAGAGAAAACAATTTTCCTAGAAGTAATTAGATCACATTTTACATCTTTTTTTTTCGGGACCTGGACGAAAGTCTTTTTAGAGAATGCGAAAAATATCCGATTGCTTGTTTTAATGATAAAAATGGTAAGATAAAGAGAGGAGTTTATATTTGTCATATCGATTTTCCTAAAAGAAATATCAGGTTAAATTGGTCAGGTTAAATTGGTCGACCAACGGACAAGCAAGCATATGATATATATTTATCATCGAAATAAAAGTTCCTTAAGACTGTTAAAATATATAAAACAAATAATTCTTCCCTTCGAGTTTTTAGTATCATTTTTTTAATGCAATTTTTATTATTCATTTTATTATTCATTTTTTTATTCATTTTTTATTATTCATTGCGCATGTGTCTTGATAAAAAATGTGATTTCAAAATGACTTTAAATATAAAGAGATACGTTACAAAACGGAATAATAATAAAGTCAAGATTTAAAATATGTCAGCTAAAATTTGTGGAGTTCGCTAGAAATTTCCTACTTTTTTCCCCGAATAAAGATTAAATTTTTGCATACTTTGCATTTTCTCTAAATAAAATCACGGAGAACAGGGAAATTAATTCCGGACTAATATGAACCTTCCGGCAAACCCGATCCTTATCAAAGGAGCCTTCCCGATTCCGACTGTGAACTCGAAGGGCGACGGCGCGGAAGCGAAAACCAGAAACCGGGAAACCTGCAGCATCGTGCCGCGCGAACGAGCTCGATTTAAATATTAAAAGGAAGAGGATCCATGTTATCCCGATGGCCGCCAAGAGGCTGGCGATAGGTCGGACGAGGGGAAGCAGAAAGGACGAGAAGAGCGTCGGCAACGAGAACGATTTATATTCGCGGTATCGCTCCGTTCATTAACGAGCGCCATATCGCAGCGCCGGATGCATTATTAACAAAGCATGAAAATTTAGACGCACGATTTACAGACTCGACCTGAAACACGTTTGTGCGAATGGGAATTCATACGCGGCGATATATATATTATTCTTATCGATTTTACTGCGGATTTAGCATACACCTTCGCACGAGCTATTTGGAGGGTAGAACCTTCGTGAAAGATGAGGGGGATTAATTTTGTATAAAACTATTGTAATAATCATCTATCATATAAATGCAAAATATAGCTTTCGGCTAAATCCATCGTGACGTTTACATGGCATTGATTGGCATATTTCTCTCTCTCTCTCTCTCTCTTCTCTCTCTCTCAAATTAATAATAAGCAAAATTTTCCTCTTTACATTTAATTTGCATATCTTTTTAATTTAAATATATTTTTATTCCACATCGTATTTTTCATACGCAAATATTTGCAAACATTAAATCTAACATATATTAAATAAATTTCATATAAAAATGCTAAGCTTTGCGATTTATCATTCTCTCTTTCATTTTGTGTAATTTTATTTCCTCTTGCGGTAGAAGACAAAACCCTATGAAACTCTACGACCGCCGGTAAATTGTCTCACATTAATCTCGAATCGTGGATTATGTAGCAAATGACGGTTCGAACTGACGCCATTTGATAAAAACTTCTAATGAACGGGACGATATCGCTGGGAGCAATTAATAATTGCCGTCGCCCAAGAGGATCGCTCATTTCTCACGTGTAACCCCGGAATCTTGGAGTTATGGACTTCAATTAACGCTCTTAATATCGAATCTTCATTTTTCTTTATTAGAAAAGGAATCTTAATTCACAAACCGTTTCTTAATTCACGTATGACTGAATGCTCAGTCAAGTAAATTAAATTTAACTAAATAAACTCTTAAACAAACTATATTTAATTTTCTTGACGATCAATTAGTTATTGCCTAGTTAAGACGCCGCGGGAAAATAAATTAACGTGGCGCGTTGAGCCGCCTTTATTCAGCTAATCCTCAAAATTTTTCAAAACCCGCGCGACAAATTCGCTCCGCCGGGGCTGCCTTTTAATCCCGACTTTTATGCCGCGACTCACGCACGCTATTTAGGCTGAATTATTAGCCATAATCGTTACCGTGTTTTAGGGCGCCCACTACCACCCGCGTTTACGATCAATAAAACGCGAAAGACGGCGTTTCGAGTTCGGCCGAGTAGAGTTCGGTCCGAGAATAAATGGGACGAACGACCTCGCTAGCCCGAAATCGCGCTCCGAACGGATATGTAGTCGATCCTTTACGAAAAGTAGTATTCACGAGTATTCATTCGTCCCGATACGACGTAACAAAAAAATCTCGGCAAAGAGAATAAACTTTACGGACGATCGACATCAATATTCATTTCGCGATGCGCAGGACAAATTTTCAAGCAAAGGGAGACCTTACGATCCTCATACCGTTTCTTCTGATCCCCTTTGCGCTTCGACTTTACACGATAGCCGGTGTTATCCTTTAGTACATTGAAAGGAGGGATCTTGCTTTTACGGTTTTACTAACGCTTCCGTATACGGAAATCCATCTATAGACAAAATTCATTTTGATATTATTGCGTGTAATATAAATTATAAACGAAAAGTGTAATAATCAAAAAGAACAAAGTTGACGACAAAATGGATGCACATGAACATATATATATATATATATATATATATATATATATATATATATATATATATATATATAGTATA